AATAAATGCTGGGCTACAACTGGTTCGAGAAGAGCGCGTCTGGTCTATAAAGATTATATCACTGTCCTCTGCGTTCCACACTTTAATTAGTATGTATTCTTTTTCAAATATAGACATCTTCAGTGCACAGTCTATCGATATAGCCCCATTGCGGAAGCCATCAAAGCGAATGTGAATGATGAAAACTGATGCGCTTGCCGGACTTTCGACACTTTGGCAAAACGTCGCTAATCACATTAGCAACTGCAGCCGGCTATCGGCTGTCCACAGTCGAAAGTCAGCCAGATAGCACTTGCCAGTTGCCAGTTGGCAGTGGGCAGTCAGAAGGCGAGCTTCGACTGGCGGCAGTCAGCGTTTACAGTTGCATTCACAGTGATAATGAATGCCATGACACGATTGCATGCCTGTTGCAATTGGACATCGCCTTGGATAATTTGAAGATTGTATGTGTGTGTATGTATGTGTGTATTTTCTTATAAGATTTATGCGCTGCAGTGAAGATGCGTTCGGGGGCAGTCACACAATTAGTGACTGCGACTTCTATGCACTTTTAATGTGCATCCCAGAATGGGCGTGGCACTGTGGCACTGTGGCTCGACGGTGACGGCAACTCGTGCCGGTTGCGATTAATTTGAATGCAGGCTGCGATTTTGCCCCCGTCCACCTCCCAGGTAAAAGCTGAAGGCAGCCAGTGCTCCACATTGTGATTAATTGCCAGACGCAACGCAAGTGGCAACCAGTTTCCCTCCCTTGCTCTCTCTCTCTCTCTCTCTGCTCTCTCATTCTCTTTCTGTCTCGCTCTCTAGCACTTCTCAAGGTTGACCGTGGCACGCTGAAAATGCGCTCATGCATACAAATTCACGTCTTGAAACAAAATTTATGACATAAATATATGCAGAAGATGTGTTGCTCGGGGGCGTGGCTACGTCGAGAGTGTTTGGGCCTACATGTGTTCATTCTAAACAACAACAACAACAACAAGAACAACAACCACACAGCTAGCAGAAGGGTTCTGGCCATTAAACGCCCCTCAACAAACAATTACGTCGACTATTTTAAGCGCTCAACTGTGAACGGCAATTACAAGAGTTTTATGCTTCAATTGACGCGCACATTCCACAAGTGCACATTTCCCTAGCCCCGTTCGCCCCCCTCTGGATACTTACATCACCAACTTCAGCTCTGATGACATCGGCCGCTTTGTAGACCTCCTCCTTCTTTGATATGTCCACCACATAGCCCTTGCAATAGCCGCCCGCCGCTTCTACGATCTGAATGGTCTCCGCAATGCCTGAAAAGTTCCGAAAATTACATGAGTATCTTTCGTGCTCTCTCTCTGTCTCTCTCAAGGCTCTCTTTCTTTCTGTCTATTTGCCTTACCCTTTTGATTAATGTCCCAGATGATAATTTTGGTGCCCAGTTTGCCCAGTCGCTCGGCGAGCTGACGGCCGAGTCCATTGCCGCCACCTGTGACTAACGCAATGTCCGCTTTGAGTTCCTTTTCGGGATAGCCGAAGGCGATGTAATAAAGGTCCTGCAGGAAACAAACGATAAGAGAGGTGTTGATAATTATACAGGAAACAGAGAGAGAGTTAATTGAGGCAATATAATTAAAGGCGTCAAAAGTTGCAGCGTGAATAAAATTGATGCGTTTCATACAACTGAAATTCAAATTTAAAACAAACTGTGGGAAATTCACATTCACCATGGGTAAACCATAGAAAATCGTCTTGTTTCCCTTAAAAACCTTTTGCTGTCCGACAATGTTTTATATGTGAGCCCAAGGAAAAAACAAGCCAAAACATTTTGACACCGTATTTCCATCAGCTTTTAGCTGAACCGCCGGCTGTTAAATGTCAAATGTGACAACAAGTTTGTTGCCTAAGTCTTTTGTTTTAACCCTCGTCATTCTGGAGGCCTTTCTCGCGAGTCTGCCGCCAACTGTCAGACAGCGTGTGTGCCAATATTAGCGCACAAACATGCTGTTCGATATGTTAATTTTTGGCTCCTTTTGTGGTGGCAAACAAAGCGCCAACAATGCGAATTGTCTGGCAGTTGGCGGTAGCATGTTAATAGGGGCTGAATTTGACGCCTCAAACTGGGTAAATACTTGAGATGTTTCAACTTCTTTAAGAGATCAACTCAACTGCTTGAACGCTGCTGCTGCTGCTGTTGATTTAGTGTCAATAAGCTGTCATAATATATGACTCGCACGTCTACATTGTCGCATAAAGATAACAAACGGCGCGGGCAACAAAATTGCCAGCAACTGTAGCAGCAGCAACAACAGCAACAGCAGCAACATTAACATAATATTTTACTCATTTTTTCGGGAGGAAACAATAATACAACAGAGATAAGATACAGCAACAACAGCTAGGGGGCAACACAGTGGCACTTTCCATCTCGCTTGCCACCAGAGGCGGCCCATAAATTTTCGTGCCACACGCGACGTCAACGTCGCTTCACAGTCCCTCGCGCCCTGCAACTGTGCCCCGGCTTGGGGTGCAACTTCAGCTATTACTCAGGGGCCAGCGACAGCAGCGGCAGCAGCCGCACTGGCAAGCGTGTCCAATTATTTTGACATTAACAATGAATGTGGCGCAACGTGGCCAGCATTGTTGTTGTTGTTGTTGTTGCTGTTGCTGTTGCTCTGCAAGCGGCTTAGCAAAGGGTATCGTATAGTTGGGCAACTGCTCAGAATACTTGACTCAAAAAGGTGATTTTCTTATTTGGTTAGCAATTGCTTTTTTTTCAATATTAGTTGAATAAATAATAAGAATTCACGACACTATTTTATTATTGATATATAGAAAATTAAAAAAAAAATAATAATAATAAAAATAATACGAGTTTTATTACTTAAATTTATATTTAAAGCCAAAGGCAAACATAGCTCAATACTTTAATAAGCTTTTTATCCTGCCTTCATTTGTGAGTTACTGAACTAGGTATTTATGATTATCTTGATTTGTTATTTAATCATAAGTTCTAAAAATATTACTCAAACATGGACTCGATTCAATATTTTTATAAAGATTTCAAAGGTAACAATTTTATATACATCTTAAAGTATATTGTAAAATAATATTAAAGTCGTTTCCTTACAAAGCCTGTTTTATATTTTATAATTTCAGAAAACTGTAGCTGAATAGCTCAAGATTTGGTTTAGGTCTTAACGGGGAAACTGAGGAATTTCTTAATAGGCGACAGTACAGTTCTAATTCGAATTTTAGTTTACGTAAGCAAAGAATAAATAGAAAAAAAAAAAAAATAAATAAAAAATAAATATATCATGAACGTCTTTTAGTTCAATCCGTTATAATGAAGAATTCAAGCTTTAAGTAATCAAATAATATACAAAATATATTAAAGGATTATATTTATATTATAAAAGCTAATCAAACTTTATACAAATCATTTGTGTATCTTATATAGTCAGATACAATTTGACTACAATATAGGGTATGCACTTGTTTGAAATATCTCAACAAACAAACTCTTCCCCTTTTAGTTAGCTGCAGTTTGGCTCCAAATTAAAAAAAAAAAAGAAAATAAAGCAAAATACAAAAAAAAAGAGAGAAAAATTGCCCATAAATAATACGAAAATTCATTAAGGGTAACATGTTAGCTGGTGTCCGGTGGCGATGATTATGATGAATATAATGATATGAGATAATAATGATCAGTCGCCTCTTTCACTTGTTGCCTTGTTGACAGACATTTTGTCACATAATTGAGCACGCAATTCGTGCGCTTTTTCCCGTCGTCTTTGGCTCTTCAGCTTGAACAAGGGCAGGAAGTGACCCATTATAATTTATGCATAACATGATAATAGCTTAAATATGTGTCTGCCGCGATTTATGCCAAAAGATAAATGTTTTTTTTTTTTTTTTGTTATTCTTTTTTATATTTTATTTTTTATTCATATTTACAAGAGCATTTTAATGGGCCATCAAATGGAACATATGCGAAACGCTCAACCCATTAAACAGATCTTTTTACACTTTCAAGTTTATGCAAAAAATAAAATCTTAAGGCTGAACAGAGCGCGGAAGTCCATTCTAAAAGCAAATCATTTGCTTGTTCTGCCTGGTCTCGGGCTAATAAAGTCCACACATGACTTGCCTATATGTAAATGCAAGCAGACACAAAGAGCTTTAATATAGTCTTGCTCAAATCCATATTTGCTTTGTCATTTGACAAAAAAAAAAAAGATATAATTTATAAAAAAAAACTGGAAATCATTTTTCACAATCTGTCTTTTGTAAAAGCGAAAAACCAGCTGCGTCAGCGTCGAACTTGTAGGGTCTGGGTCTGGGGTTTACTGGTCTCTTTTATGGCTTGTTAGATTGTCTATTTGATTGTCAAGGTAAACGCATTGACCTTTGTAAAAAAACAAAAACGGAAAATTTCCAAGAGCATAAATGGAGCAAAGCTGGGCATCTTTTGAATTATGTTTTATATACTGGTATAGATCTCTTAATGCGAGCTAAGCAAAGTGATTTGATGGAATTTGTAGACTATAAATTTTCAATTTCATTGGAACAATCTCAAGGTGGAGCTTCGATGGAGAGATATGAAAAACAGATTTACATGCGGTATAAAAAGTAAAGCTGCTCGACTACAAGATACCCAGCACATTGTCTTAGACATATTTCGTGAAATATACCTGGGAGTCAACTAATTTAAATGAATTTTGCATCTAATGTTGGCAATTATAAATTCATGTTTAATTTATTCGTCATATAACAGATTTTAGCATCAAAAAGATGCTTAGTTTATGGGGTCAGCCATGGCTTGAACTGGTTAGTATAAAATACTGCAGATTTTATGTTTTACCTCTTAATTCCCGACAAGTTATGTTTTCAGTGCCATATATTATAAGAAAGGCAAGAAATGAAAAATATTTTTCTATGATGCTATAATTTGTTGCCTATTCTGTTTGCTGTCTGCATTTTGTTGTTTCTTTATATATTTTATCTCATGTTTTTTTACCGTTCTATTCCATTTGTAGTAGCAGTTATATATGTATATAGATTTATCATTTTTAATTTATTAATTATGTCAACAGTTTTCTATTTGCGTACATTATTAAACGGTCTTTATTTATCTAGCAGCTATTATTATTATTTAGCAAACAGCTTTGGAATTAAAATGTTTATTTACATTCGCCTATCACACATATTGATAGGTTCTATTCTAAGTGCAAACAACTCTCGCCAATTACACAAACGATCCAGGAAGTTGTAAGATCTGCCTGCCTCATTATCATTAGATGTTCATTAGTCTTGAATCAACATTTAAGCACACAACGTTTCTAACTGTACAATATCATTTATGAATCCCCTCAAAGTTCACAATTAGCATATGAGCGGTGAACAACTCTTGCGCAATTATGCAAATTCAAACAATCGAAAGAAGAAAAAACAGAAAGAGAGAGAGAAAAAAAAACAAGAAACAAATTTGCGACAAAACCGCAGACAAAACTGAATTATGAATGCTAGCATATGGTCACGTCTTATCTAAATACTAACTTCTAAAGGCGCTAAGCGCCAAGCAACAGCACTGCAGCGAATGCTGATCAAATGTTAGCTGCGCTTGTATTTGTATTTGTGTTTGTGTTTGTGTTTGTGCTTGTGCTTGGCTTAAAGCAAATGCTAGACTGAGTTAGCAGAAACTTGTTTACTTCGTCCGGGAGAATTGCGAAAAATTGAAAATCTAAACGACTTCGTAGACCAGGTGAATTCTAAGCCAGCTGAAAGTGAAACCGCCAGCCGGCGAGGCAACCTGCAAGTCAGCCCCAAGTCAAGTGTCTTGCCCAACAACAAAGCACATCTATGCAGTTGCAGCAGTAGCCATGCCATAGCCATGCTCGTCACACGACACGACTCGACTCGACTCGACTCCACTCAACTCGGCTCGAGTTGAATCCATTCGAGCCACTCGACTCGGCAGCTGCTTTAATTAGCTCAACTTTGGCTTGAGCGATTTTCCATTGGCCTATAAATAAAAGACTTAAGACACGAACTTGCCTGGTGCAGCACTGATGCAATTTTCATTTGCTGCCACACTCACTCCAGCAACTAGTGACCTTTAAAGCTCTGCTATATAAATAAATATATACATATATATATAATATAAATCTAAGAAAATTACACGAAGCTGAAGCGGCATAAAAAGAGCGCAGCAGACGGCGTAAGAAATTGAATAAACCTGAACGTGAATATTGCAATGGCATAGATCTGAGAAAATAGCTGAACGAGCGAGATGCGCTAATGATGTTTAAATAAGACTGAAATAAACGTTAAGCGTATTGATATTTATTCAGTGGCTTTTAATTTAATATGTGCATATATTTTCTAATCATTTGGATTTGCATGTTTTTTATTTATTTCGACGTTTTTTCTATAACGAAATAATATTGATAGCTTTTTGGGTCGTTATAAATATTGTTAATAATAATAATAACAATAATAATAATAATAATAACAATAATAATATTATACAACTACAATGCCTTTATCTGCAGAGGGTTAACAGAAGTAAAGAAAAATTTATCATAATATAGATAGATATATATTAAATTTAAAAAAGAAAAGCAAAAAATGAATTTAATAATTGAAAAAATAAATAAATAAAAATCAAATAAATATATGAAATAAATAAATATGAAATATATGAAATAAATAAATATATGTCTTCAATTTCGAATGCTAATTGCCTTTAAAAATATTTTATAAAATACTTCTAATCATTTATATAAGTATTTAAAAACTTAAATAAATACTTTAAAAATATATATTTTTCTTTTAATAAATATATTTTCATATATTTCATATATGATTTCAGAATATTTTGTATACTGTATTTACTATGGAAAAGTTAATAGTAGTTAAAAAAAAAACAAGTTCTGCCTATAATATGTTTATTTTCGATTAAGTTTATGTATTAACGAGCCATGCATTGATCTAGGCGTAACGTGCATTCGATTTCTATGCCGTCAGCACGTTGTGCCCGTTGCAATTTCTGAGGCGTCATCGAGGCGGGTTGCCTTCAAAAGTTTACTCGCCCAGCCCCAGCCAGCTGTTTTCAATAAATGTGTGTGTCTATGTGTGTGTGTGTTTGGCTAGCTGTTTGCTTTGATTGTTGTATTTGGTTTGGCTGCTTGCTGCAGCGGGTGGCCGGTCACTGCTCTGACAGCCTTCAAAATCCATTTTTATTTATTGCCACGCAAAAATTAGCACCTGAACACTAGTTGTTGGCTTTGTTTTTTGTTTTACAGTCAATATACCGCAATTGATGTACAGCTACATACATATACGTACATATATCTAGCAATCAAGTTCTATGCTTTGCCAATCTTGGTTACAAGAAGTGGAGAAGTGGAATTTACCGCTCGACTGTGATGTATGCTTGAGATTGCTGCCAATTGCAAACTGCGATGCCCTCGGATATGGAATGCGTAAAGTTAATGTGAAGAAGAATGTTTGACCGCAAGTAATTACGTTTTATTATATAAATATGTATATACTATATAATGAATAACAAAAATCTGGTACATTAAATTAAAGGAATTATTGCTAAGCAAATTCACAATTCAAATGAAAAGAGGGTTAATAATTTGTCTGTTTTTCATTGCGAAAATTATTGTTAAATATTATTAATCATTAGATTCTTCCTTATTTAAATTAATTAAATTTTTCTCAGTACTACATTCCACAGAAACACATATTTTAATATTTAGATTTCTGATTTTATATTATTTTTCATTTGCAAAAAATACTTAAGAGCAGTGGAATGCGAATGAAGATTGTATTTCGAAATATAATATATACATATATATGGGACTATATTTATTTTTAATAAAATATATACGCTGAAGAAAATCCCTACACAATTGAATAAAACAATGGCATATATTATTTTATCTTAGTTTTGTTCATTCACTGTTACCACGGAGCGGCTATGACTCAGTTCATCAAACACACCCGTCCATTTACTGGCCTATCTGAGGAGTGACACACTATCCTAACCCACTTCACATGTGAGATAATCCAAACAAGTGAGCCAAGGCCGTTATGGGCTATGAGCCTGCGCTTCCAATAACCTCCACAACGACACACAGTCTCAAACAAAAGCTAACTTTATGCTCACATATGCAATACCAAGTGGCTGTTATACGGCTTTTGTTGCTCTTGTCGTTGTTGTTGTTGTTTGACCAACACTTTCGATTTCAATTGCGTTTACTTCTTTTATATTTCTTCTCTTGCTTTGCTGTTGCACGCACACACACATACGTATACTCATAAATATATACGCACACACGCTTCACAGTTAGGCGGGCAAGTTGCCCGCGAAAAATTGTTTTGCTGTGGCAACCACAGCAGTCGAACCCACAACTAGCCAAGCTAATAAAAACAGGCTTCATGGCGTTGCAAAGCCGGCAAAATGCAAAAGTTGAACTGGGTCAACAAGCCAAAACGCAGCAGCGACGCCAACGCCAGCCGCGCTGCTCGCGTCGCAGCGCCTGGGAATAATATATGTATGTTATTTTTTTGTTATTGGTATTTTTTTATTTTGTTTTGGTTTTATTTTGGAAGTGTTCCCCTTAGCTTATTTCCAGCGCCTGCCAGACAGTTCCACAGATTGTGGCCATAAAAGCACACCCTCAAACGGCCAAGTTTGTTGCCTAAGTCTTTTGTTTTACACGCGCTTAACGAATTTCAAGAATGCAGCGACATAAACCAGGTTAATATCGAACTGCATGTGGTCGATTGTTGTGCCAAAGCCCATTATTAACACGGTCAATCAGTATGCAATTGCAACAAATAACAGCAGCAACAACAACAATGGCAACAGCTGCAAAGACAGCGAATCTTGAATCTTAGCATGCAAATTAGTTTTGGCTCGTTCATGACTCGTTGATATTGCATTCAGCATGCAAATGTCAACATTTTTAATGGGCAACGCCTCCAACCCGTGTCTTTTTCTCTCTTCCTCACGCTTTCTGTCTCTTTTCTCTTAGTCGGCCTGTCTCTATGCAGTTGGCATCATCCGTCGCTTAGTTAGGCATTCAGGCAAAGAGAGTTACCTCGGTAATTTAATGGCACTCATGCATAATAAGACCGAGGCAAATACATGATACACATGCTACATTTAATGATCATATCTCACACACACACACACACATAGATATATATAAGAGTAACCGCCGCAAACTAAAAAGGTTTCGTTTTTATCTTTGTTGCCAAAGTGAAATTAATATAATTATGTAGCACAACAACAACAACAACAACAAAGACCTACAAAAATTGTTTGCTTATGTAATGCTGCGAAATTTGTTTATAAATCCGAGCGTGTCAATTTGACCGCAAGAAAGCAAACAAAATAAAATAAAATTATAATATTTTAAACAAAATATTTGCCCTTAAGCCTCATATCCGAATTCTTTGTTAACTAGCCATGAATTTCAATTATGCGCTTTTACAGCAATTAACCGAATTTATTGGCCCTTTTGGCGTCAGCTAAAAGCAAATCATTTAATAATCTTGAAAACGTTTTCTCTCCGCCTATCTAAAATGTGCAATCACCTTAAGTGCTCGCCGTCTTAGCTGTCTAATTATACAAGTTTCAGTCAATTTATAGTATTTTACTACATTGTACTGCAATAAATTACTTTTGATTGGCATTGAATTACTTCAGGGTAATTAAGAATATATATAATTAACAAGTTGCTAATTGCATTTCCTTTAGATATAGAAATTGTTTTTGATATATGCGGCGTACTATTTGCATTTTATTAAAATCATTTTAGAACAGGCTAACAATGCAATAATAACAATACAAGCGCCATAATACTTTGTAAGACCGAGATGATGATGAATTATAGCTTAACTAAGTTCATTGTTGTATTTAATTACCACCTTTCCATTTCAATCTATTTAGCATACATGTGCACATATATTTTTTTAATCATCATATATTTTATTTATCGATTCATACTTGACTCAAGTACAAGGCACTTGGTATTTAAATTTGTCGCGCTTGAATCGATTGTTGTCCAATATATAATATCGAGAAGATTTAATGAATAAGCAAGTAAGTAATTATATAGTATAGTAAATTCCGAGATACCGGAACACATATTATCCGATTTGCCCCGCCCCTAGTGAACGATGTTCCGAATCTACTTGGAGCAACGTGTTTGCTTGCTTGTTCACTTAACATTTATCGATTTAATCAAACGTAATTATTTAATTAACCAAAACAATGGTTGAGATCTGCATGCTATAATATATAACGAGATCGCAAATAAAAATTAATCATACGCGTGCCGATAATGACAGCCATAAAAGGTAGATGAGATTGCAGAGTTATTGATAAACCACGCAGACTTTTATTTATTTACTTTTTTTATTTTTAACAAGCAATCAAGAGGCAAGAGCCAAGAGCAAGCGCACTTACGCTCTGCCCACGAATTGAGGCAGTGAAAATAAGTGGCCCAAAAACGAGTTTATCTGATTTGGTGAATTCGTAAATTGATGTCATTTATCAAGTGCATTTTTTGAATAGCAAACCCAAGTCAGAAAATATAATAAATTACTTTCGATTTTTTTTTACCGATTTACTCATCAAATAATTAAAGACTTATTCGACGAGATTCGGTAATCAATTTATCGGTTTGCTTATGTTGATTTGTGCAATTTATAAAATTAAAAAGTTACATTATATAAAAATATTATAAATAATATTATACATATATGTTAATCAAGGAATTAATTTTTATAGAGGCTACACGAATTTATGAATTTTTATAATTATATGAAAAGCCCATTATCACATCATTAACATGAGTTTATTTAAGTCTTTTTCAAGTAAAAACTTTTAATAATTATTCCAAAATTATACTGATAATTCGCTTTGTCATCGCTCAACCTTTCATCTTTCAAATCTAAATTTTTCGTAATCCATCTCAAAACGGAATAAAACTTTTTGTTCTCAAATTTTCTATGAGTTTTGCATTTGGTTTCAGATAGATTTTATATATTAAATTGATTGGCTTTATTCCTCACAGACAATGTGATGTTAATTAAGCTGCGCAGCTGTTGCTGAGCATACGGAAGCATCAGAAATTCAAATGTAGAATAGCAAAAATCATAAACTATTCAAAATTGGTTAAGAATTTGTAAACAAAGTGAGACTTAGCTTTAGATTTATGCACACCTTTTGACATTAGCTCGAATTGACATACCTGGAGTATATAGCCTATGCTGCAGATGATGAACCACAAGACATCTGCGAACGCATCCCAGGTATTCCATATTGTTTGCTTCCAGCTGAGCGGCTGAGCGGCCACGCCTACTGCTGCACCATTGCCATTCGACAGGGCCTGTCCGTTGCCTGACGGTGTAATATCCGCCCGTAAATTGTTATTGTTCTTCTCCATTTTGCGACACGAGTTTTGTTGCACTTGTTCTATATTTTTATTTTTTTTATTTTTGGTAATTTATTTTCTGTTAGAAAATCACAATTATTATCTTTATTTTTTTATTTATTAATTTTTTTTTTGCGAAACGGTTATTCTTGATGCAAACGAACCACTTGCAAGCAAGACAATAACAATAACAATAACAATGGCAATAACAAATAATAACAACAAGGCGAGACTACGAAATTTTTACGTTTTGTCTTTGCTATGTTTTTTTTTTTTGCGTTTATTTATATGTGTGCTTTGTTTTGTTTTGTGCTTTTAGCTCTGATTTTCCGCGCTGCACGTCCGCTCTCGTGAGCGTAGCAAACGAATTTGAACGAAAGGAATGAATTTCGACTTCTTATTTTGGGGCGCTATTGGATATCGCCGCTGACGTCGCTGTCGCTGCCGGCGCTGTCGTTGCCGTTGCCGTTGCCGTTGCCATTTGTTCACCGCCTGTCTGAAGCTTAGAGCTGTGTGACGTCACGAAGCTTCAGCAACAGCTGTCGCTTTGTTAGTTTTGTTTTGTTTTGTTTTGTTTTTGCTTTGGCTTGAAAAGCAAAAGTTTTACGCGGAGCTTCGAGTCGACGGCAGCTGCGTTCTTTTGACGCTTTACGGTAAATTACCTTAGCTCGCTTCAGTTTGTGTAATTTAATAAAAGCTCAACATTTTGCGTTGTTGATAACTTGACTATTGCCCACTGTCCAAATTAATTGTTATTTATGTTGGCCTAAAAGCTTTAATCATTTACAAGTCAGCTGCACTTGCCGCTCGCCCAAAGGTATTTTTAGTTTTATGCAAACTCATTAGCTTGGGGTAATTAATTAAAGACTTTTGCTGCAATTATAAGGTGTGTGTGTGTTTCTCAAAGGGTGGAGTTGTGCATAAACGTTAACAAGTGTTAGAAAATTGCAATAAAAACATTACGAACTCACTAATTAGCAGCAAAAGCACTGAAGCTCATTTTTTAACTAATTTCATATTTTCCTACACTTCTCTATGAAAGATCTTGGGGGAAGAGAATCATAAAAAAATAGACAAAAAGAATGATTAGTAACTGACTAATTAGGCCTTTTTAAGCACCTTTTTAAGTATCTAATTTTCTTTTGCATTTCAGTCAATTGCTAATTAGTATATTTTCCGCATTTTTGAATGTTTTCTTTTAATTGTTAAACATCTGTTGCTGCTGTTTATGAACATTAAACTCTATATAGTTCACTTAAAGCTGTATTCATGATTATTGCTCAAAAGTGTTAAGCCCTTTCCAACATTTAAATCATTTCATTATTACTTTCGCGTCAATCATCATTTACACTTTCACAGCAGACCTATCGCATATCCTCCTTCCGCATATTTCTTCACTTTCCTTTGGCTCAATTCTGATTTATGCCGCTAAGCGAGATTTTGGCGTGCTCCAAAAGATGCTCGATGAAAGTGAAATTACGCAATTGCCTTAAGTTCCATTGTTATTATTCGCTTTATTGTCTGCTCTTTTTAGCGCGGGTTCTTTTTTCTCATCAGCTTAAAGAATATTTGCATGTCTATACCCTGTACAAAATGTGAGCAAAAAGGCGTATCACTTTTAAAAACAAAAGAAAAATATATTCATATTAAATATTTTATATTTAATTAAATTTAATGTAATTTTACTTTATCTAATTAAAGAGTTAAAAAATATTATATTTCTTTTTGCATATACCCCCATGTAATCATAGAATATATTTTAGTCTCATACTTCACTTTACATGTTATATAGAAACATGTTATGCAAATTATTATTTGGGTTTATTTTATTTATTTTTTTTCATTCTATTGATTCTTGTCGATTTCGTCACATATTTTGGGTTTATTTAATTTATATTTTTTCGTTTGGTTTAATTTGCTTTGTTTTAGAATTCTTATTTTCATTTGAATTTTTAGCGAGTATTTGCAGCCTGCTGCTTGGGGTCAAAGACCGCCAAAAATATTTAAAGGCCGTCTACATTTGGTCAGCTGCATACATGATACTCCGAAATTGCAGCTGTGTGCGTGAGTGTTGGTGTGAGAGTGTGTGTGTGCGTGTGTGGGACGAGGTACGAGGGAATTGCAAGCCGCAATAGTGAATTGCATAAATGTTGAGAGACGACTTTTGATACACACAAGAGACACTTAGACACTTAGAAAACTCAGAGACTGGCTGAGTGCACTTCTAAACTTCCAATATTTTATGCAATACATATTATGAACTTAATTTACATATCGGCATGTCACTTGCCTTTGATTTCACAATATTTTCTCAGGCAAAGGCGCGGCGACGTTCTTCAATTGAAAGCATGCAATTAATCTCTTACTTGCCGGCTTTTCAATTTATTACTGAATTATTTATAACGTTTGATGTTTGCCTTTTGTATTTGATTATATTTACTTTTCACTTTTTCAGCGTCCTCTTGCGACCAATTCGTTTATATTTGTGACGCATGCGTCAAACACAAGAACACAGCGGAAAAGGGAGAGTGAGAGAGAGAGAGCTAGCGGCATTTGCCAAGCGTGAGAGCAGGCTGTGTATGAAAGGGCTCCGTTTGTTGGCTCTTCTCGTGTCTTTTTATTTACTTTGTGCTGGCATTTGTGAGCAAAAGAGAGCAGGAGCAAGAGAGCGCATGCGAATTCTAAGCGATAAACAGCTGTTGACAGTGTTGGCAAAGCGCCAAATCTATTCAAATAATTGCGCATCGGCAAATTAGCGAAATCTTACAAATAGTTCTTTATTTATTTATCGACAAATTAAATGTTTTCTTATTTAACTAACTTTAATGGTGTTTTTTAATAATTTCCGCTTTATTAGCTCGAACAACAAATAAACAACATTCTCCAAATATCGTATTTCCTTTTTCTAAAGATTGCATAAAAAATTTAACCTCGTGCCCTGTTGACCGCGCACTAAAAATATGTTAATCCACACAATACGTATATATAAAAAAAATATAACTTAATCGTATTGAAAATGGCATAAGATTCATTTGACTGACCTTGACGGGCGCTCAAAACCCGCTAGAACCTCATAGCGAAATTAACGTAATTTGCCGTTCGAAGCCATTTGTCAAAGATTCAACACTGGCGCCAATCACCGAACTTTAACCTATTTCACTTCCTCACACGCGCATGAATACACACACGCATGTACAAATATATGTGCATATACATGTATACATATATAAAAATACCAAGTCACATTTATGGTTTAGCTTTAAGAATTCTTGTTTGTGAAGCATGGAGTTTGCAAACTTCCGGCTAAGACTCCATAGAACGTGTTTTAAGCCATGTGCGACCAGACTTGGATCGCGGCTCAGACTCAGACGTTTATTCTTTGGAAATTCGTTTGCTGTTTATTTTTAATTGGCGACTTCAGATAGAACAACGTAGCACGTAGACGCTTTATGATGCCCGCATGGATTGTTCATAACTATAAGCTTACTAATTGTTGCCAAACTTTTTATTTTTAAGATTTCTTACCGCTTTTTTGTCTCTTTCAAGGTCAAAATCAAGTTGGTATTTTATCGTATTCAAAGTTTTTTTTCCTCAATTGTGTTAATTGCAATATGTGAGTTGTTAATTTTTAATTGAAGGAACTGAAAAAATCGATTTGAATGAATTTAAAAAATAAAAATAAAGATTTGTTTGAAATTGATTAGGAAGTATATGTCAAAGACATACAATAATATTTTATCAATATAAAAATAAATGAAAATATAAATAAATATTGAATTTAAATTTTTAATAAAAGTTTTGTATGCCCATAATAAAAATAAATATTTCTATATTTTGTATTCGTTCTGTTTAAGTATAAATTTATGTAAAACTCCAATATTATCAAAGAAATATATTAGTTTAATATCGCAAAATTAATCAATATATCATTCTTTGTTCACCTTATCCACAATTTTGGTATTCCAAAGTTTTATGTTGTCAAATACAATTTATCATGCTTTTATTAAGTTGACAAAGCAAACTAAAAATGTCAACACCATTTTGGGTAGTATCTTTGTTTAGATCGTAGAGTTGGTAGATAAATATTTTCCGGTACCAGATTATCATGAGCTTCCGCCGAAATCGACCTACTTTACGGCATGCTAACTCCAAAAGTGTGATGCAAGCGACATTGAATCTTAATTATGGCTTTTCTTTAAGGCCTTATCGATTAGAGGCCCTGCACACCCAACAAAATCTGAAAAATGAAACAAAACAAAGTCGTTGAGGCTATCGAGCTGCTAATAAGAAACACAGCTATAGGGCACCGTCTGAATAGGCCCTACACATATTTTCATCCATATATAAATTATGCAAATTATAGTTAATCGTATTAATTTTTATATAGATGTGAACGCGGCAGCCACGTGCAAAGTTAAATATGTAAACTATATACAAGAATTTGATAAGCTCATGACTTGCTGTAAATTTTCGGAATTATGTAACACTATTTTTTTTCACCTTTTATAAGTTTGTTTACCAAACGTATATTAAATCATATTTGTTTTTTGCAAGTATAATAAATAAAATAATAAATTTGTAGTTATACTACCTTATTTGAATTCTAACTACTCTAGTCCAATTTTATTTATTTTTTATTTTTTTTAATTTAAATCCAAATATAAATGTTTTTATTTTCTTTTTAATTTTAGCAATTTGCAAATCAAATATTTAATTAAATAATTTTATTTTTATTTTCTTAAACTGGCTGCACTTGATGAGGCAATACTCCAAATATGTAATGTCAAAATAGATACTTGGCGAATATTGATGAAATCGCCGGTAGCTAAAAGTTATTAATAGGCCGAAAGCATTAGGCGTAAGCTCCACTTAAAGTGCACTTAAAAAACCTTAACAAAAGCTGAAGACAGCGGCACATCAAATGTGCTTTTAATTAAATTAGTAACCAAATCATAAGTAATAAGGCCAAATGCACAAATGGAGGCTGCGAGATATCAACAAAATAAAAAGAGAAGTGAAAAAAATACAGTATTTCATATAGAGACAACGGTAAGCTAAGCTATAAACAATATAATAATGCCCACATATCTCACAGGTAACTAACAAAAAATAAATAAAAATAACTCTAAAGTTGGATGGAAGGTCGATCGCTGGAGTCGTTGCTTTGATGAGTGCTAAGTGACCGCAGCCTCTAAAACCGAAAGCTCAGCCGAAAGTTATAAATGCGCCAAGTCCAAAGTTTTTAAACGTGGTGGTTATTATATATATATATATATATATATTTTTTTTTTTTTGCTCACTCTTGACAAATGTTTCAAAATAATAATAATTTGACTTATATAAGCGTTGGTCTAACACTTGTCTGAAACTGGTTCGACTTTAAAGTAGCCGGAATATCCAGTTCTGGAATCATAAATCATTTCAACTAGAACTAACTTTAATTCTTAAGTTACATTCATTTTATTATTTATATGTCTGGGATTAGCAGGTTTGGTCTTTTATTTATTTTCTTACTCTTTCTTGTGTTTAGATTCGTTTTTAGCACAGCGCGTGGGTGTCAGTCGCTTCGTGAGCATCTGCTATTGTGGATTGCTCATTCCAGATGATTGATGTCAGCCTAAATGAAATAAGTGATATTTTTAGATGATGCAAAGCAGTTAGAATATCGATATCAAGTAGACAAGTAAATAGTACAAAGATTATAGACGAAGTACAGCAGCTTTAATTATAATAAGAATGTGAATAGTCATATATGTATATGAATAAAATTTTAGCTTTTGGAAAGTTTTTATTTTTTATATACAATTTTTAATTTATATAAATTTACAGGAATAAAAATATATTAATAATTAATAAATAAACAAGTAAGAAAGCTCTAGTCGAGACTGCTCGACTACGAGATCCCC